ACGCAGGGAGTTATAGGGACACCAGAACCAGAAATATGGCACATTGCTGGGTGTCTTTTCCTCCAAAGCACGACAGAGTACAGAGCCAACTACTGAGAGAAAGAAAGGCTAATTTGCTTCCATCAATGAGGGGCGATTTATCTTAATTCAGGAACACTTTCTCCCTTAATCAGTCACTGACTGCAACACAACAGAGAAGATGAGGGTATCTTGTATCAAAAAAATTGCTCCTTCTTTTTACTTTCTCCAGCTGCCCACTCCCCACTCTCTGAATCGTGGTCCAGTAATTGCAGCAAAGAATCTGGCCAGAAAAGGCCAGTGGCCTTAACAACCAAATCTGTGGGTGCAAGGTAGGTTTATAAACCTAAGCTACAATCCAAATTTATCAGCAAGTTTTGAACATAAATGTTCTTTCTGAAAAAGAAACTACTTAATACACTATCTGTTTATGGGAAGTTTCCACCTTCAACAGTTCTGAACCTGTCAGCTGCATTCAGGGTTCCCAAGTATATTATTTTTATTTACTTTATTTATTATATTTGCATTCCACCCTTTATCCATGGATCTCAGGGCAGTTCATGACATAAAAATACAATATAAAAAACACAGTGTAAATAATAAAAATAAGACCAAAAACAAGCCAATAAACGCCCCCCAACTTATTTAGAAGTGTTAGATGTTAATCAACCAAAGACCTAGTTAAAAAGGAATGTTTTCGACTGGCGCCTAAAGGTGTGTGATGAAGGCACCAGCCGAACTTCTCTGAGGAGAGCATTCCACAAGTGGGGAGCCACCACAGAAAAGGCCCACCCTCATGTTGCCACCCTCTGGATCTCTCACGGAGGGTTCCGGTAGGTTCATATGGAGAGGGGCAGTCCTTGAAGTATTGCAGTAAAGGAAAGCTACTCATCAAATGTGGAGACAGAGCAGCTTTTCTGTAATGCAGGAAACCTGCAGACTGTTGACGAGTTCATTTACTCTGAGGTAAGCTGAGGAAGATGGAATTCAACCAGTATACCGAGATTCTGAACATTCCTAGACTGAACATTTTCAGACAGCCACATTTTCCTGTTTCTCAGTGCCCACTTAATGACTTAATGAAATAGCAGGTTTCGATTTCATTTTCAGGTTTCTATGCTTGTGAAACATGGCCCACTTACAAACACCATCTCCAACTCCTCAAAAGATTCCATCAACGGTGTCTTCAAAAAAAATTATACATCACTTGCGAAGATAGGCAAACTAATGCCAGTGTACTGGAAGAAGCAAAGATCACCAGTGTTGAAATGATGATTCTTCAACGTCAACTTTGTTGGACTGGTCATGTTGTTTGGATGCCTGATTATCGTCTTTCAAAGCAGCTACTCTATTCCAAACTTAAAAATGGAAAGCGTAATGCTGGTGGTCAACAAAAGAGGTTTAAAGACTCTCTCAAGGCAAATCTTAAAAAATTTAGTATAAACACCGACAATTGGGAAACACTGGCCTGCGAGTGCCCCAATCGGAGAACAGCTTTTACGAAAGGTGTCATGGGCTTTGAAGACGCTCGAACTCAAGACGAAAGGAAGACATGTGCTAAGAGGAAGGCACGCTTGGCAAACCCTCACCGTGATCAACTCCCGCCTGGAAACCTATGTTCCCACTGTGGAAGGATGTGTGGATCCAGAACTGGCCTCCACAGTCACTTACGGACTCACTGTTAAGGCCGTGTTCATGGAAGACAATTTTACTCGGCTATGAGGGATTGCCAAAGAAGAAAGAATAATAATGAAATAGCAGGTTTCTGTCAGTCTGCCAGTAGGGAGCACTCTTCCATGTTGCCCTGAGACAGACAGCAATCTACCTGCAGCCAACCAGCACCCACGCCCTTACCTGCCAAGCGAGCATTGACTCTGTTGTGCCTTGACCAAAGCCAGAGAATGCTGCCATCTTTGTTCCTCACTTTGTTCATGGACTCTGCTGCCATGGCCTCGAAGTGGTCTGCGCACTGCCGGCAGCCAAAGAAGTAGTGGACGTACCCTCTCATTGTAGGGAGGACTTCCGGTGGTGCTGGGGGGAGAGAAGGGAGGGGAGGGGCAGACCCGTTAAAATGTGAGTGGGCAAAACACCCAGACCAACCACATGCACCTTGAGCCCTCTTGAGATTAATTCAGGTGCTGTTTGCTGAAATTATTACTGTGTGGAGTAAAGTACTTCTCTTCCATACCGTCCACGCTGTAAACTCAAGTCAAACCTAAATGTTTGCAAGCAAACCTCTGTTGCCCAATTGCAAAGTGGTGGGAGGAAAGGCCAAATTTTTCAAGGCGAAATAAGGAGATGCGTAATACTTTACTTGTGTACCACTTCTCGCCCCCGGCCCCTGGCCGCTGGGGTTCTAGGCAAACCTTTGCCAGAAGGAAAGTGGCTTTTCGGGGGGGTGCACTATAGGAGAAAAGCAGAATGTGTGGGTAAGGATTTGGCACAGCTTTCTCTCCTGGTTCTTCTCTACTGCAAATATGTTGTTATATGAGAGTGTTATTGTTGTTGTTGTTGTCAGGTGCTGGTGTGGTTGCTCGAGAGTAAACAGGCAAGACTCCGACCTGTCTTTTCCAGGCTTTATTCTTGGTGCAAACTATTTACAGTGAAGAGCGTCGTAAGTTCATGTCTGGCTCAGTTGCTAGCAGAATTTGGGAGTGGTCGGTCCTTGTACCTCCCCCAGCATAAAAGTCGCGTCACCCCCAACCTTTTCCACCCCTCCCTGCGCCAAAGCCTACTGCGCAGAATGGGCGCTGGAAGGGGCGTACTTCCCCCTCCGGTTTGCTCAGGCTCAGTGTTGAGGCTCTCCCTAGCATCCCCTGGTCCCTGCACCTCATCTCCACTGGAGGTGGGGCTTTCCTCCTCGCCGGAAGAGGAACTGCTTTGCAAGATTTTCACAGGCTTCCTATAACGCAACTGCCCTTCCATCTCTTGCCTCTGAGTTGATGGCAGTTCCCTGACAATTATTATTATTAACTGCCCTTCCTCCAAGGACCACAGGGCAGTTTACAATATAAAAACACAAAAATACATTACAGTACAGTAACAAACAAAAACAATGCCCTCCACAAAGTTTAAAAGGCCATTCACTGTTTAATCAGCAAGAGGCCAGGGAGGAGAGGAATGTTTTTGGCTGGTGCTTACAAGATATGTAATGATGGCACCAGGCGAGCTTCCCTGGGGAGAGCATTCCACAAACAGGGAGCCACCACAGAAAAGGCACTTTCTCGTGTTGCTGCCCTCTGGACCTCTCGATACCTTGAGGTATTGCAGTTTAGACAAAGTAATGGAGGATAAGGCTAAAAACGGCTCAACCATGATGGCTATGTTTTGCCTCCAGAGTCAGGGGCAGTGTACCTCTGAACACTAGTTGCTGGGAATCATAAGTTGGGAAAATGTGACTCTGCTCGGGTTCTGATCCATCAAGCCTTTTATATTCTTAAATCAATGTCTTTCCCTTCTACTCTGCACATGTTTGGCATTAAGTAGGGAGCAAAGAAATTGGGCAGCGTAGATAGCACAGGAGTGAAGCACTTTACTCAGTCAACTATCATGGTTTCAGAGCGTAAATGCAAAAATCCTGTGGGTTTTTTTTAATTAAAATTCACAGATGTAACAAAAATATAGTTCTGCACCAGATTCCTAGTTACATTTATTTTCACTTTGGTGTGACCTCTCTGAATGCTTCCCATATGTGTACCTATTTCTTCCTCCAAGGTTCTTAAAATATATACACTGGACGCTCGGGCTGCGAACGTGATCCATCCGGGAGGCACGTTCACAACCCACAGGGTTCGCAACCCGCAGCGCCGCATCTGTGCACAGGCAGGTCACGATACGGCGCATGCACAAAGTGCAATTTAGTAACCTGTTCCGGTAATTCCGGATTTGGCGCAGTGCACAACCCGAAAACGCACAACCTGAAGTGTCTGTAACCCGAGGTATGACTGTACAGCCATACCTTGGTTGGCGAATGCTCTGGAACTCAGATGTTTTGGCCCCTGATCAATCAAAACCCAGAAGCGAGTGTTCTGGTTTGTGAATGTTCTTTTGGAACCTGAACATCCGATGGGAGCTTCTTGCAGCCAATCAGAAGCCGCGATTTGGAAGTCAAATGCTTTGGAAGTCGAACGGACTTCTGGAACGGATTCCGTTCAGCTTCCAAGGTATGACTGTATAACTGAATATGGGCAACGACACTCAATTTTAAATACTCTTTCATTGCTGTAATTTTTGGCAAAAGACCAGCCAACCAACAATGGAGCGGATGAACTTACTCCCACAAGAGGTGGTAGACTCTCCTTCCTTGGAGGTTTTTAAGCAGAGGTTGGATGGCTATCTGTCATGGATGCTGAGACCCCCGCAGTTCAGCGGGTTGGACTAGATGATTCTTGAGTCCCTTCCAACTCTCTGATTTCTATGATTCTATGCACTGACCCAAGAGAAACCAAAGATAGCCAAGCCAGGGTGTGAATCCAGGCTTTCCACTGCCAAGTCCATTAGCCTAATACACTCCTACACATTGGCTGGGGATTAGAGGGCAATACAGATGATAAACTGCCATGTTGTATGTGCTTTGGGGGAAGAAAACGGTACCTGAATTCACCTGGACATGACTTGGGCTGTGGGTTTACTACAGACCACTGAGCAGGGGCCGCATTACTCACTGTGAGGTTGAGGGCTAAGCAGTGCTTCCTGCACCGTCAGGAGATGGAAGAGAGTCCAGAGGCCACATGGGAAACCTCTCTTGCTCCCTTGACACCCTACCCAGGTTGGATTCTCTGGCAGCCAGGCATTTGGAAGCTGAAAGGGAGAATGCAAAAACAAGGTGAATATTAGACATCTGTGTGTGTGTGTGAATATGTATAGGGAAGTTTTTAATGTTGTTCTGCTGTGCTTAATGTGTTTTGTTTGCTAGACGCCGCCCAGATGGGGATCATATGAAGAAGAAGAAAAAGAAGAAGAAGAAGAAGAGAGAAAGAGTGTGTTTGTGTGTGTGTGTGTGTGTGTGTGTGTGTACGCATATGTACACACACACACACACACACAGTAAAAAAAAATCAAATACTAAGATTATGCAAAACTAACACAGAACAAGGCAATCCCTGTCTTCTAATTCTAACCCATTATTGACCACTGACTAGCTCCTGGAAAATAAATATTAGCTGTTTAATCTCCTATGCAGGATTTAGAGACTGTTTTACATAATGCGTCCAATTTTGTCCCTCCCCTGATGGAAGGGCTCTTTGATCCACCACAGGCTTTGGGAGAAGCACAATTTCTGCAGATTCTCCCTTCCCTCTACTCTACCCCAAATGAGGGGTAGCAGCAGTGGCACAAACCATCTCTCCCCTCTCACAGGCGCCTCTGCTGGATCAAAAAGCCCCCCACCAGCAGACGGACACAACTGGAAACAAACTAATGTTTATCTTCACCATAAATGATATATTCCATAGTTTCTACACTTTTCAAAAATAATAAAGCCAACTTTGCCCGCCCCACACAGTCCAAATGGAGGCTATGTTTAATTCTGAGGCTAACAAACTTAATTTAACATCCACAGAGAATATCTAAGCTAGCCATACATTCATTGAGTTTTTAAAAAGTTGCCCAATGAATTTTAATCATGAGACCCGCTCCCCCAAAAAGTGAAACATGAATTACATTGACAGTGTATGTATACTTTAATCTATGACAGGCATGGGCAAACTCAGCCCTCCAGATGTTTTGGGACTACAATTCCCATCATCCCTGACCACTGGTCCTGTTAGCTAGGGATCATGGGAGTTGTAGTCCCAAAACATCTGGAGGGCCAAGTTTTCCTATGCCTAATCTATGAGGAAAGAGATACCACTTAGTGCTCACAGAATTGTAGTTAGAAGGGACCCTGAGGGTTATCTGGTCCAACCCCTTGCAATGCAGGAATCTCAACCTGTGGTCTCCCATCCAATTAGAAACCATATTGGACCCTGCTTAGCTTTGCAAATGTGTCAGCAGTTTTACTGCTGCACCACTAGGTCATTTTTTTTTAAAGCCAAATCTCTGGGAAGCTTCTAGATATGAGTTCCCCAAAGTGATGCCTATGGGCACCAATGCACCTCCCTCGATGGCCACCTAATTTGTCTATAACATTTCCCTCTCTCTTTGGCAGCAGCTAAGTTTAAATCAAAGTGATATAAAAAAAGAACATTTAAATCTCCTTGATTGTAACCAGAAATAATAAGAAAAAGAGGTTGACTTAAATCCAGAATGCGGCAGCTAGACTGGTGACTGGGAGTGGCCACCAAGACCATGTAACACCGGCCCTGAAAGACCTACATTGGCTCCCAGTATGTTTCCGAGCACAATTCAAAGTGTTGTTCAAGCCCTAAGTGGCCTCGGCCCAGTATACCTGAAGGAGTGTCTCTACCCCCATCGTTCTGTCCGGACACTGAGGTCCAGCTCCGAGGGCCATCTGGCGGTTCCCTCACTGCGAGAGGCCAGGTTACAGGGAACCAGGCAGAGGGCCTTCTCGGTAGTAGCGCCCGCCCTGTGGAACGCCCTCCCATCAGATGTCAAGGAAATAAGCAACTTTCTGACTTTAAGAAGACATCTGAAGACAGCCCTGTTTAGGGAAGTTTTTATCTCTGATGTTTTACAATTTTTTATGTGCTGTAAGCCGCCTAGAGCGACTGGGGAAAACCAGCCAGATGGGCGGGGTATAAATAATAATATATTATTTTAAAAAATAATTGAGCCATTTTGTGGTGGTGCCCACAGGTCCAAAGGGGTTGGGGCTATTCTAGATCCACATTCAAACTACTCAGGGCAATGGTCAGGCCCAATGGATTTGAGCTCCCCGCCCCAGCATGAACCAAAGGCACCTCAGAGCCTGCCCCCGGGGTATTCCATGGCAGACCCAGTGTTTTTTCCACAGCTTAGTGTGGACAAAGTTCCCAGAAGACAGAACATTTCAAAACCACCTCAGCAGAAAACGGAAGAGACCACCCATGCTTTTGAGGCAGAAGCAAGGCCAGTGAAATATACCTCGTTTTTATTCCTCAGCGCTTCCTCCCACTCGCTCTTGGAAACGTTTGTCTTTGGCCTCAGCCAAAAGTCCAGGTTGCGAAGATAGTTCATGATCGGCAGGCGTCCAGGAAAGTACTGGTGTAAAGAAGAAGAAAAATGCAGACAGGAAACAGGAAAGATAAGTAACAGAAGCCAACTAATGTCTACTTGTAGCAGGTGAAAACGAAGGGGGTGGCCACAGACCATGATGCTCCAGGGGCGAAAACTGTATAATACCAATCATGTGGTAGTGCAGAATAAATAGTATGGGGGAGAGAATTCAATTCTTGTGACGTCTTCTTTTTCATGGACAAAAAAATTGGATCAAACTTCCTCTATCCTCAGGTACAGAATTATATGCACAGGTACAGAGGAGGAGTGGATTATTCATGTACAGTGGTACCTTGGGTTAAATACTTAATTCGTTCCAGAGGTCCATTCTTAACCTGAAACTGTTCTTATCCTGAAGCACCACTTTAGCTAATGGGGCCTCCTGCTGCCGGAGCACAATTTCTGTTCTCATCCTGAAGCAAAGTTCTTAACCTGAAGCACTATTTCTGGGTTAGCAGAGTCTGTAACCTGAAGCGTATGTAACCCGAGGTACCACTGTACAGTGGTACCTCTGGATATGAATAGGATCCATTCCGGAGCCCTGTTCGCATCCTGAAGCAAACGCAACCCGCGTCCACACCTCTGTGCATGCGCGGGTCACGAATCGCCGCTTCCGCGCATGCGCGTGACATCATTTTAACCGTCTGCACATGCACGAGTGGCAAAACCTGGAAGTAACGCGTTCCATTACTTCTGGGTCGCCGCAGAGCGCAACCCGAAAGTGCTCAACCTGAAGCAACTTCAATTGTTGTTTGCTTCCTCTCAGAGGAAGTCTCTATAAGGAAAAAGGTAAAGGTAAAAGACCCCTGGATGGTTAAGTCCAGTCAAGGCGACTGTGGGGTTGCGGCACTTATCTTGCTTTACAGGCCGAGGGAGCCGGCGTTTGTCCACAGACAGCTTTCCGGGTCATGTGGTCAGCATGACTTAAATTGCTTCTGGCAGAACGGGACACTGTGACGGAAGCTAGAGCCCACGGAAACACCGTTTACCTTCCCACCTCAGCGATACCTACTTATCTACTTGCGCTGGCATGCTTCTGAACTGCTAGATTGGTGGATTTAAACTGCTGACCTTCTGATCAGCCAGCCCAAGAGGCTCAGTGGTTTAGACCCCAGTGCCACCTGCATCCCTGGAAGTCTCTATAGCTTTGCACTGAGAGTCAGGTCAATGCACAAGGTGACTGAAATGAATATATGAAGCAAGGCAAGTTCCTTTGCTGTCCTTTGCTTTTTCTCTTGTCATTCACCTTCTTCAGGCATCTGGAGAGAGGGGAGGAGGTGGGTTATACCTACAACCCCAGCCCCCAACATCCCTCCTACACTAACTTCACTTCACACCCTCCTGTGTTCATTGGGGGCGGGGGTGGGGAGCACCTGAAGGAGGTTTCTAAGTTCGTTATGATGGACATTGTCAGGGAACTGCCATCGGAGCTAGAGGTGGAGGGAAGGCTCCAGAGAGATGCAGGAGAGGGTCCCAGTAGGGAAAGAGGCAGCCCGTCCGCTGGGGAAGGAAATCAGCGTAACACCAGTGTAGAAGGGGGGCAGATGGGGGAATCGGAGAGGAGGCTCCAAGACTCCTCGCCGGAGACCAGCGGAGAGAGTACGGGTCCTCCGCTGCCCACACCCTCCCTGCGCAGAAGGCTTCCGCGCAGGGAGACTAGGCGGAGACTAGGCGTCAAGGAACTTTTATGCTGGAAGAAGTTCAAGAAACGCCCACTGACGGATTCTGCCAGCGACTGAGACAGCCACGAAGCTAGAGGCTGTCCGGTCAGAAAGGGTTCAACCAGGTAACCTAGCCAGGAGTGGCGGCAACTTACACACGAGCAACCCCTAAACCCATTACAGACATGGACTGCTCTTTCAAAAACCTACGCTCCAGAGAGCAAATCTAGTTTGGATCAATGGGAGGTGTGGTCATGCCTAATAGTCGTATTCCAGAAATTGACCAGAGCTTTGCCAGGTGTTAAAATGGAATCTCCCCAACAGTCGTCAGGAGTCCTCAGGCTCCATCTGCCTCCACATTATTTTCTCAGGCACGCACTCTTGGCTTGGGGCAACTGGCTAAAATGTTTTAAAATATTTTAAGTGGTTCTAATTTTGGTTCCTGGTGGTTATTTTAATTTGGGTATAACTGTAAACTGTTTATTACAGTGGTACCTCGGGTTACAGATGCTTCAGGTTACAGAATCCGCTAACCCAGAAATAGTACCTCGGGTTAAGAACTTTGCTTCAGGATGAGAACAGAAATTGTGTGGTGGCAGCGGGAGGCCCCATTAGCTAAAGTGGTACCTCAGGTTAAGAACAGTTTCAGGTTAAGAATGGACCTCCAGAACGAATTAAGTTCTTAACCCGAGGTACCACTATTCTGTTATTACTGTTGTTGTTAATGGTTTCAATTGGTTTGTTTGTTGCTCGCAGAGGATATTTTGTTTTTTACTGTTTGATGCTTTGTTGTGCTTTTATACATGTTGTAAGCCGCCCAGAGTGGCTGGGGAATGGGCAGGATATAAATTTTGAAAATATTATTATTATTATTATTATTATTATTATTATTATTATTAAATGCAGACCAAACAGCAGCGGTGAATTGGGAGATGGGAAATAGAGTTGTTGTGACATCCTCCCAAAAGTGGGGGTGCTGTTTTCAGCAGGAGGGGGGGGAAGGGGGAAGATACAGAAGTCGGAGGAGCACTGGGTTGGCGGCCTCTGCGCCTGCAGTTTCTGCCAGCCCAGAGCTTCCTTGACCTCGCTATGGTGCCTCCACTGGTACTCCAACCCCTCACTCACTCACTGCTGCTGCTATCAATCCAGTGGCTTTGCATCCTTCTGTACGTCCATCTTCATGGTGAAGGAGCCCCAGGCTGTTTGCAGCTGCTATTTACTCCCAGTGTCAGATATTGCAG